GCAAAGATGGATTTGATTTACCTACAGATGAGGACGTGCTCGTTAATGCTATAGTCTGCTTATGATATGACATATTGAGACTCATGAACAGTTAGATTCGCTGTCCTGAAATACGTTCAAATCTGAGACAAAAAGTCAAAATGGCTAATGCCTTAAGACAACGACCATTTAAGTAACTTGAAAGCTTACGACGTATGAATTGATATACCTTCCAAGTTTTCAAGTATGCCTATCGTGAACCTTCTATGAAGGATATTGAAGAACTTTTCAATCAAGAAAAGAAATTCCGTTGAGCAATGACGTGCAAACGAGACTCGTGATTGAATGAAGTTCTGTATATGTCAAGTATGCAATACTATACACTACGAAGGAACTTTTGTCATCAATACCAAAGGATCAGTGAAGACCTTGCTTAACCGAAAATTGTTAATCTCTCAAAGATTGAGCGAGTTTGGTGACATCAACGATTTGAGAATGCGTATCTATGAGACGTAACCATGTGGATATGATGCAATCATGATTAGATATGAATACAACAAGATGTTCATTGTGGACCTTAGAAGAATTTCGAGAACGAAATTCTTTTAAGGGGAGTAGAAATGTAACGCCCCAAAATATACCTTAGAATTATTAATAGATAATTATTAGAATAAATCAAAATTGTTTTGATTAAAATAAATTGTTATGGGCTTTAGGCCGATAAAAATATGTTTTGATATCACATATCATAAATCAGGATAAGTCTCAAAAAGATAAATCAGAACCATGGCCTAGCCGGTCGGCTAGGCCATGGTTCTGGGCTAGCCATCTACCCAGCGATGGTAGATTTCACCCATGCATGGGTAAGTGATCCCAGGATTCCAGAATCATGCCACCCAGCGATGGGAAGATCTTCCCATCGATGGGTAAGCAGTCCCTTAGCCAAACCAACTTCCAGAACCATGCCAAACAGCGATGGGAAGTTCTAACAATCGATGTTAAAGCCTTGGTGCAACATTACCACAAGGCAGAATGCCCTTACCCAGCGATGGGAAGCTTTACCCATCGATGGGAACCCAGCGATGGGAAGGCTTAACCATCGATGGGAAGGCATGACCGTTGCGAGTTATTTAAGGCTGATTCTTTCCTTATTTGAAAGTCAACCTCCCACCCAGCGATGGGAAGCATCT